TGGCAGTGACGACTTCCTCCGTCGGTGACTGGGCTTCGACGCAGATTGGAAAGAACTACACTCTTCGTCTTCAGATTCAAGCAGACGCCCAGCCCGCGGCATTCGCCGCAGAGGTTCCCAGTTCCGGCCAGATCTCGAGCTACACATCATGGGGCCCAACATACGAGAATGGCTTTTCGCCTATCGTCTCAGCCCCCGGTGGTGTCGTCTATGGCGCGTTCCCCGACAATCGGTATTCCATCTCTTCGGGGACCTCGTTTGCGACGCCCTACATCTCTGGCGTTGCAGCCTTGTGGTTTGCGCATGCGAAGAAAGATCGTGCCGAGTTTGTCCGCCGCCTGACTTCGACTGCCGTAGCTCTCCCTGCCTTTGACAACGGCGACGCCCGTGTCGTGGCGGAGATTGCGTCTCTTGCTCAGCAAGGTGCTGGCCTCATTGACGCCTCCAAGCTGTTTGACAGCACGACCGTCTTGCTTTCTGAGCCGACCCTCTCACTGAATGATACCGACAACCGTGTCACCACGCATACAATTCGCATCCAGAACACTGGGGCCGAAGAAGTGACTTATAACATCACTCACATCCCGGCATCTACGGTCGCATCCAGAAACTCGATCTGGTACCCCAACGTCTACTACCCGCCTCTCCTGTCAGCTGCCGGCTCACTTGCGGATGCAAAGACTGTCACTGTTTCTGCTGGAGCTACTCAGGAGATCGAGGTCACTCTGTCTGCCCCATCTCTCGATGCCGACAGTGGCGCACTTTGGAGTGGCAAAGTCCTCTTGGCGGGCTCTAATGACGACCTGATCACCGTTCCTTATATCGGCGTCGAAGCTTCGACGTACAACTGGACTCCGCTGCACCACGGCCCAGAGTCGTACCGATATGATGATTCCAATGGTGACCTGCTTCCGATCGACTATCAGGGCCGGGCCTATCGTCCTGCCGAGGGAGAATCACCAGAGACCTACTTCGCCTTCAGATACGGTACATATGAGTTCTCGGTTGACTTGGTCGGCGTGGATTGGTCCACTGAACAGTTCTCGTACCCACCCCAACATGGTTCCGGATCCAAGGCTTGGCTTGGCTCTGTCAGATCCCAACCCGTTGTCCCCGGCGGGTACATGGACTTCCCCATGAGGGAAGTTGTCCGCTTCAACCAGGGTAGCTTCATCACCTTCCGTGCATTCGCGAACGGAACGGACATCCCCTCGGGCCGCTACCGCATTTTCACGCGTGCTCTGCGCATCTTTGGAGACGCATACAACCCGAAGGACTGGCAGCTCTTCCTCTCGGACCCGTTCTCGATCCAGCTTGGCAATGATCCCATCCCGGGCCAGAATGCAACTTTCACCACGAGACAACCTTCGGCAACTGCGTCTGCCACAGTGAGCTCCACGGCTGCTCCCGCTACAACATCCGCCGTCGCTACGACCGTTCCTATCTCCGTTCCAGGCCCCACCACAACTCTCACCGCCACTGCCACGCCAACTGGTCTATCAGGTGCTTTCACTTCTCTCAAGCTTCAGCGCCTCCGCGAAGACACTCCGTTCATTACCGATCCCGAGGCTTGGATGGAACTCCATGTTCAGATCTCCCTTCCCAGTCCAGTTGCGGCAGACTCGGTCCTGACCTTCGCCGTTCCCGCTGAGATCACCGACATCGCCGAGGGCGACCAACTGTCTGCATCTGGTGCCCAGGCAGGGTCCACTTCCTTCGACGCGGAAACCCGCCTGTACACTATTGCCCTCGCTGACTGGACTACTTGGAACAAGAACATGGTCGGCGACTTCTTCCTCATGTGCCGCTTCACGCCGGCCTTTGCCGCCTCGATGAAGCAAGGCACATATGTGGTTGAGTTCCCCACCGTTGACAAGGTCCACCAAGCCACAGTGTACTACACAGCTGTGGACAGATCAACTATCTACGACCGACTGGTGACATCGCCCTATGACGGTGCCAGCTTGTTCACGGTTGAGGCCGAGATTCCCGCCTCGCTGGGCCCATGGGACTATGTTCGCGTGGAGACGTCCCACTCCAGCGACTTGGACGGTTTCGTCTGTGACAACTCTAGCGTCATTGTTGGGCACGAGTTTGACGCCGAGAATCGTATCACGAGCTTCACCGATGTTACTGCCGAAGCCGTGGAGGTTTGCAACGTGAAGAACTTCCGAGCCGTGTACAACCAGACCCTGACTGGCCATGATGTTCTGCGTTTCACGATGGGAAGCATTCAGGGCGACCGTCAAGCTTGGACGCTTAACCTCGTTTATCTTTTGGATATCCAATTGTCAAACGGAACTCTGGTGTTGTACGATGCCAGGAACTGGGCGTTTGAGAAGAACCCCCGCTTGAGGAGCCAGTCCTTCAATGCATTCAGTGGCGAGCGCGCCACCTAACCACTTCTCTGATTCCGCCATGTAATTACTCTGCTTTGTTGTACATATTAATTATCTTGAAGACGCAAAACAGCGTGTACATAAATACAAAATGCCGAGAGTGGACATTTACTTGTTTCTTACTCAGGTTTGGTCTGAGAGATTATCAAGCACCTATTTGCCCGCAGTACCGATGTGATACGATAAATGCCCTGGTTTTGCCTTGAACCTATGAATGGATTGTGCCTAGCCAGTTGAGCCCATTGTCAAGGTTCAATCATTAGATTGAAGAAGTTCCACTTGAATCGCCAAGATGCTGTCAGAGGCCTTTGGCAGTTTTGACATGTGCTCTGGGGCTGGTCCGAGTCCGCCACCTTAAAATATCATTTGCATAACAAGCTCGTAAATCAGAGTTTTAGGGTCGCATACGTGGGGGGCCCCTCGGATATGACGATCCAGTTCAGAAGTCTTGTCCCGGACCCAGACAGGGATGCTGATTATCAGATGATCTGATAAGATTAGATGGGACGAGCCCACCGCTGGAGCCCTTTAGGTTCTCGGTCGAATCGGCCCCGCTGAATACGCTCAGCAGCCCGCTCCTTTCTGGGATGGATCGGCTGATGGCACCGTGGAGTTGCTTTGCCAAGATTCATGCCAATAGCGCGCGCGATATCGGTCGGCGCAGTTTAAGGGACGAACTTCCTGTTCTGGACTAAGTTTCTGGGCATGCCGGAGGGAGGAGTTCAGGCAGAATCGGAGGTTGTTGAAGATAAAAAGGGTTGCTTGGTACGGGGCAGTTGAGGGAGAGTTCTTTAGACATCTTCATCCAGCATCTTTCGCGCCTCACTATCCACATCTACAACCAAACTTCTTCCTACAACTTCAAGATGCGTTTCTCCATCACCTGTGCCGTGGCTTTCGCCGCTTCCTTGGTCTCTGCCACCCCTCTTGTCACCCGCAACCAGGTCTCTTGGGACTTCCCCGAGGAAATGCTCGCCAAGCGCCAGGACGTTCCTGCCCCCGGTACCCCCGCCTACCTCTGCCACGAGAACTGCGGTAAGTGTAGTATTTGTTCACGCGACCTGAGTCTCATGCTGATCAATCTTTGCTTCCAGGTACCTCAATCACTCTGTCCCGCGAGGCGGGCTACTGTGAGAACTACCAGTGGATCGCCAGATACGACGCCTGCCTCCAGTGTGCGAACGCCCAGAACGTTTGGCAGTACTACGGCACCTCCGTCACTGCTGCTGCCGCTGCTTGCGGTTTCACTGCTGTTCCTGCGAAGATCTAGGGTCAGCGCGATGTCTAGGGACTCCCATCGGGGCTATCAAAGCAAACTTGTGGTATCCATGGAGATCTACGCCGACAAATGAGTTGTATGAAGGAATGCGTACAAAGTAGTTTGATCTGAACGTGAAAAACTGTACATAATGACATCAATAATAACAAACCGATTGATATGACAACCCCCACCTAGAACGTACTTATGAAGAAAACGTGGAAAGAAAGAAACTAGCCCTAACAGCCGAAAGTATGGAGAACACAGCAGCTTAGACGGTTTATGTCCTCAACCCATCATCCGAGCCTCTTAAAGATATGCTCCTCGTCGAATTCCCTGGACTTTGAAAGTCACCGATGTCTTTCCCCGTTGCTTCAATTTCTAGAGTAATTCCTTCCTCAGTGAATGTAGTCCCCGAAGAACTACTTATGCTATGTGCGAGACTGTTTTGAGAAAGTGATCTGCCCAGCAACTTGACTACTGAAATCGGCAGCCCAGCTTTGCTCCGACGTGGAACCTCTCCATCAACAAATGTCACTCTGTTGCTGGGATCTCGGCCACCGGCGACGGGTTGCATAGGAGCTGATGAAGTTGTGTCGGTATCGGTCCTTAGTCTCGGACGGCCCATTGCGGGGTAACGTGATTCGAAGTCATCAAAAATGTCCATGGCGTGTGAAAAGTAGGCTAGTCTAGGACCAGTGGGTGCGTCCTCTTCGTAATGGTTGCGCCCCCAAACATGGCCGATGAATGCCCTGGTTTCGTCGTCAATGATGGCTGCCCCGGAATCGCCCGGTATGCCGATTCCCCCAGCGTTCCACTTTTCAACGGCCAAGAGTCCTGGAGCGTTTTCGAGATACCATTCACGAGTAGTAGGCTGGTCCGGGCCCTGCTGAACAATAATCGGGGTTTCGCACACGACCGCGTACCTAAATCCGCTACTACGACCAGTACAACGGACCATTCGAAGCTTGGGGCTGATACTCATTGTGTCTGACATTGGGCTTGAGTGCGGTTCCACTTCTCTGCCATCTGGGGCATATCGAATGCAATTCTGAAGCAGTAGGCCTTCGCCTTCCAGATCACAGAATGCCCAGTCGGTTTCTACTCTTCGTTCATCTGGTGGCACCTTCGGAGCGAACTCCTGGAAAGATCTCGAGGCTCGTTGAGTCCGATACATCCTATATCCAGAGTGTGCGCCAATTTTCGCAATGCGTACCGGAATTGTTCCCGTGGGACAGTCGATCCCTGCTGGATGCACAAGATGACATTCCGGCGCTTCTTGCTCTTCGTTGACACCTGGGGCTCCGTAAAAAAGATGAAAGTTTACGAGACACCCAGTTCGGTCACCCCACTTGATTGCTGGACCGATGGTTGCTGCATATTCACCCTTTTCAAATCCAACAGAGTCACCAACCATTAGAGGTGAGTGATAACGAGCGTTACCAGGTGAAGCATACGGTTCCTCTGTTCCAGAGGTGCGCTTGACGACTCCGATGGTGAAAGATATGGTAACGTGCAGTGACCTCTCCGGCGTAAATATCTTGGAGACATTCCTTCTGAGCTCTTGATTTGTGTTGTCTGGTAGCCTTTTCCTGGTAACAACTTCCACAATTCTGAGGACACCATACTCGCTGTAGTCAGCCTGAATCGAAATATTATAGTCTGTGATGTTGCCTTTGACCATGGTCTCCTTCAAGCGCGGCAGTGCTTCATCTTCCCATATCTGGTTGAAGTATTCGGATGTTCTTTCGCGCTCCTTCAGTTTGGCTCGGATAGTCGCCAGTTCTGTGGAATCTGACATTGTCGATTTGTCCAGTGGGAAGGTGGGATGCTTGGACTTTGCGAATGAGTTGTGAGAAACTTCGTGTGATAGCTGGTCGTTTTCTTCTTCAGTTATTTCTTCAGGTTGCGATCCTGGCTCTGCCCTTGGCACTACCGAATTGCGGATGAATTGAGGAGGGATGTGAGACTCGGACCGCGTCAGCCGGGGCATGCACACGAGGGCCTTCTGGGCTACTGTGGCCACAGATCGTATTGAGCTGACGCTGACGCTCTTCACGCTCTCCCAAGTCTTTGAACGTGTTGAACGACGTTGAGGAGGCGGAGGAGGTGACAAATCTTGCTGCTGCGCCTCATTGTTCAGCTGCTCTTGTTTGGCTGAAAAGCCGGGGCCCACGCGTTCGGGCGAGGGCGGAATTGCTGTCAACTCCGGATGCCGAGAAATTGTGTGTTGAATATCTTCTGCATCTTCCCCGCCCCAAACTCGCTCTCGATCTCCAGCATTTAAGTCCTTTCTATAGATGTCCTTTCTGCTGGGCGCCGAGCATTTGCCATGGCGGACATTGTAATTCTCCCTAACGAAGTTTGGTTAATTAGGCTGTATTGTTGGGTTCGGGACAGCATATCTGGTGGAAATTACTTCTCTGAGAATTCATTGTGGCGCTTTCGAGATTTGCTTCGAAGCTTGTGAATCAGGCGTTTGAGAGATGCTAGCTTATCGGTAAAGTGCAAGCTCATATTGGGCTCCTTTTGTGGTCAGGTGCAAGATCGGGAGTTAAGGCGGCAATGAAAGCTGCCGTCCCACTGTAACAGTCCCAGTCGCAAAGCCAAGACTGGAAGCACACGACTCCTCTGCGGGAGGGGCAAATACGCTCGGAAACATGATTGCTTAAATGATTCAGGCCCTCACAGCCTGATCCTCGAAACTGACTTGGTTGTTCAGGAGAAATGCAAACAGAGTGCCCCGATGGATTCGTGGCTGGGGGCTGTGTTCGGTAATGGTTCGAAGTGGACGAGAAGTGGAAAAAAAGTAGAAAAAGTCCAGAGGCCGCCGTTCATGCGGCGTGGGATTACCGGCATAAGCAGACCGTCGCTTGCGGTTAGCGCCTTGTTGAGTGTGTGGGCTTCCTTCCAGGCGAAGCACCAACATGGTCTCAGCCTGGTCTCGCTGCAGCTGTTGGGTCACATTGCTGACTTTTTGCACATTGTGACGAGTAACACCGCCTGACGGCTGCCTTAGCTGTGCCATTGCATATGCGTCTCGAAATCTGCAATTGCCAAATCGAAGTAGCGGTCACTGACTGAGTGAACCCAACGACGTAATCATCCACTTGGGCTCGTATCATTAAGTACAGGTAGGATATGAGGTCCAGATGTGGAATTATTATTATTTCGTACTTCTCATGGCGGAGCCTTCAATTGCAGTTTTTTCTTGGCAGTAGCCTTACTGCCAGCCTCCGCATCACTTCTCCACGATCTGAGTGCCCTTCAGTTCGCTGTATGCATCGGACCCATGGACAACACAACTCGCAGCAGAACCTCCAAGTAGCAACTTTAGAATCAAACTTCCATTCAAGCAATACAAAAGTCCCACGATATCGAATATGAGTCTATGTAGCATCTATGATGAACTTTTATTGCCTCAAATATCAGCTCTTCTGGTAGTGAAAGCTTTGTCTCTGCTTCAGCATTTAACTCTAGCAAAGCAAGAATTATTTCATGAAACGAGGAATGGCTTCCTGTCTTCCCCTTTGTCCTTTGGGAATTTTCTGCAGTGGGTCTTTGGCAGGTGTTCAGAGCTCACTAAGGTACGCAACTCGCCGAGTTTGTAGTGGTGAGCAGTTGCAAGGTCTGTCTTAGTCGTCAATTCACAACCACGCACCAAAGCCATGTTACGCGTCTAAGCACAACCACCTCAAGCGTCATGTAGCCATATTTCTACGCGTCTAAACAGTAGAGAAGGGTCCGTCACATGACCTGGTGGGCAGGCACTCAGAAAAATAATTAATTTTGGTCTTGTTGTTTTGATTCCAACCAAAGCAACCCGAATTATCACCACCTCCTACTCTACCAAACTTTCATTGCTACTCTCATCAAACACATCGAAATCGCCCCAGCCCTCATCATGAAGGCCATCAATATGCTTCTCCTGCTGGCCGGCATCTTTCTGATGATGCTTGGCGTCCAGTACGACGAGCGCGAGGGCGAGCGTCGCGACCAGCTCCCTCTTGGCTGGTTCGGCGGCGTTTTCTTCCGCGGTGTCGGCGCTGAGACCGTCAGAGTTCCCTACGACCATCGCTTTGCTTCTCCTGAGGCTTCTGCCGTTACCCAGATCTCCGCCAACCAGACCTATATGGACGATTATTTCAAGATGGCTGGCGACAATATCTATGCCGTTCCTGGCTCCATGGACATTTGCCCAATCGATTCCTTCGACGACTTCAAGCACACCATCGAGAACAAGCTTTCGGGCATCAAGGAGGGTGTCGAGCGTGATATCAAGGCCATTGTGTCTGCCGCCAGCGACCATGCTCACAGCTTCGGCAAGAATGCATTCTCCTACCTGGTTCGCATCGTCTCATTGGGCCTCTACTCTGTCGATGACCTTGAGGCCATCGTCACCGCGGATCCTTGCGAAACCCACCATGATGACGACCCCGCCTTCGTCCCCATTATCGAAACTCTGGGAGACCTCATTGTTGAATATGTCATCGAGCTCAAGACTGGAATCCACAACTCCTTTGCGTCCCTCCACTACTGGGTTATCACTCGCTCCACCAACTTCATCTACCTGTCCTTCATGAGCGCTGGCTTGACTGTCATGGCGGCTCCCGGCCTCGTGTCTGGACCAGTCTTGTGTGTCATCGCCTGGGGCATGCCTGAGTTCGTTGGTGGCAAGTCTCCCGAGCTCCCCTGAACAAGACCGCGATGTGCAAAATTGCTAACTGTTACTTGCAGAGTGGCTTACTGCTCTGATCATGCACATGTTCGACGAAGTGTTCGCCGTCGGTATCATCCGCCTCTGCGAGAGCGCCTTTGCCGGTGGCCTGGGTCTTGAAGCTTTCAACTACCTGATCAAAGTCGGTGGTCTCGTCGCCGTCCTCTGCTCGTTCGCCGGTCTTGTGGCTGGCTTGACCAAGTAGAAGACGGAAAGGTTACGGTGCCGGGATAGTACGTATGTCGGCTGGACCAAAGTTGTTTGGACTGGCTATTACTTGGAAAATGCCCTTCTGGCTCTTTCTTCCGTCTTCGTCGCTGGTCTCTGGCTGCGGCCAACATCGCATGTTGATCCCCGAAGGAGAGGGGAATAACTAGTCTAGGATCGTGGTCAAGGACAACACCATGGAATTGAGGCATACTATGACCTCAATGAGATACCTCGTGCTCCCGTCGATGTGATCATGACGCTTGCGGACGCCTCCATTCGGTGTCTACGGCTGCTGGGCTCGGTCATAATGGCAACCGAGATGCTTGCGTAAATTTGGTTAATATTGCTGCCTCAGCTATTATTGAGGTAACCACTGGGATCAAAAATGTCCTCCTCGTATCTAGTACTGAGTATTAACTTCAAAGAACTCCAGTTCAATGGCTGGCTGGATATGTGTTTGCTTCCTGTGGCTAGGTTGCGGGCTTCATTTCTTAGTTTCATTGCCCTTGCTTGCTTTATAAGTCTAGATGAACTACGCTTTTGGAGTCGGAATGTCGATTAAAACTCGAGATACTGAGAAATAGAAGGCGGTGGCTCTCTCAGAGGTTCGGCCGGAAGGTTCTCACCCCACTCTCGGCCGGTCTACCCATGCATCGTGAAGTACCCACTCCGAGGGCTTCAACCCCTGGTTCCATCCCACACAATCAGCAATGGCGACTCTCGCATTCATTCAACAGTCGGTCTATTAGTCTAGTTGGTTAGGACGTCGGATTCTGATCTCACAATCAGTCCCTTCCGTAAGCCCAGGTTCGAATCCTGGATGGACCTTCTTTTGCTCTTTTGATGCCCTCACTTCATGTGGTCCAGGCGCCCATTTTTGTCGGACGAACTCCGCTCAGCATACATACCTCATGACTGTGTGAATGAACTTTCTACTTTTACGCTATCATACAGACCGTTACTTCATTAGAGCGTTCCTCCATCATCGACCTTGGCCGTCTTGCCGCCCAAGTACTGAAAGTCACCATCCCCTCTGACCCCAATCGTGAACACTCTTGCTTGCCCCAACGCACGCTGGAACCATCCCAGCCGGAAATTTAGATCGGATAGCCTGCCATGAAGCTCGTCTGTCGACAACAACTGGGTGCTCTCCGGCAGATTATCTGACGCATTGGACCCTCGCAACAGTGCACCCATGGTCGCCATGCTGTGAAACCCATCAGGAGCCAGACCCTTGACATCCAAGTGGAATGGCCAATTCCTGCCCACCATTCGCTTAGTTACCACTGAAAGTACCGCGGAAATGTGAGTCAACGCCACGGCTACGAGGATCGCAACCAAGATGTACGTGACTGTTGCGTTCTGCACCAGGCGACGTCTCCCATTGTCGCTGACGACTGCTTCTAAAGTTGGAAGCTGGTCAGGTGGCGCCGCGTTCCTGGAGCGTGCTGTCAGGTTGTATCGGTTTTCGATGTTGACCAGCTGCGCGGCGACAAGACCGTAGTTGTGTTGGAGGCCCTGCAGGATCTCTTCATCCTGGCCTGCGTCTCCGAGTGCTTCGAGAGGAAGCTTTCCAAACGGCTCTATCAACGCTTTGAACTGTTCGCCGATCCAACCAGCAAGCAAGTCGGCGACGGCTAGTTGGGGATAGGCATCGCCAACTTGGATGTTGATGAATTGTTGATCGACATGGGGTATGTCGAGAGTAGGCGTCCATGGCTTGATCGTAGACAGATCTGCTTGAGGCGGTCTTTCGGGGTCCAAGACGTACTCGCCATCATTCGCGGCCAGATGAACCTGCGTGGTTGCTTCGACCCAGGTGTAGTTGCATCTCCACATTGAGAAGTAATCGAAGCCATTCTTTTCCGTCGAGAACTTGCCCCAAGCGTACGTCTGATATCTCCATGATGCGTACTCGTAGTCAGTGGCGTTGACGCCTAGACTACAGGCCATATTGATATCGGCCGTGTTTTGCGGAGAATAGAAGACATCCGCCATGTACGAGACACCAAGTCGATTCGTAGCGACGCCCATGTCCAAGCGGTTCAACAACGCAGCTGTGGAGCCATTGGGGCAGCTAAACGGCTGAGTGATTATGGCTTCGTAGTACTTTGTCTCTTCTACCCAGTTGGTGATGTTGATATTGTACTCTGAGTCGGGCACATTGAAGCATTCCATCGGGTGCAGCTTTGCCGCCGGCACCGTGGCTGTAATTGTTGTGTTTGGTGATACTGGAACCGTGTCAACACCACCAAGGACCGGGAACACAAGGTCATCGTAGGTGTTCTTTGGGTACGCCAGCGACGCTTCACCTTGTCTGGTCACAAGACTGCTCAGGAGTTGCCGGTTGCTCCTCGAAAGAGATAGTCCGTCAAGCCCTCTCCCAATCTCTGTCGAGCCAAACCAACTTTCCTGTTGGAGCTGGATGTTGTGGGAGTCGGGAATAGACTCGACCGTGAAAATGACAGATACTAATGTCGTAAGGAAGGCGCAAGTAATCGCGAGTGATTGTGACAATGTCACGGCCCAGACGCGCTTCCTTAGAGAAAGGTAGAGGGCTCGAAGGCCCAGCATATCCATCAAGGAAACATCGAGATCCCTCGCACTGCACGAGCGAGTAGAAAGACACGAGAGGATAGCTAAGCCCCTGTAGGCGAAGTCGCAGCAGCTTGTGTACAGGGAGACGCCGAGCATGACCAGAGCTGGGATCGAAGTCCAAAGCAAATGAAGGTACCCTTCCTCACTTACTGTTGCTAACCCCTGCGATGTCTCCGAGACCCTCAAAGCGTACAAGAGCCCGACAACGATGGCGAATGTGAGCAAAGAAGACAAACCTCGAGCCCAGGTTCTCAAGACCAGTGGCGTAAAATCGCAATGGCTCCAGACCGTTGACGGAGAGGTACTATGGGCAACGCGGTCCGCGAGGTCAGGATGTTCTTTGAAGAAGATCATGTTGCCGAGAATCGTCGCGGGGTCTCTGAACCAGACCGCAGTGCGACTCGTGTGCCGAAGCAATACTGATGCAACCACAAGACTGAGCAGAGCAAACAGCGCTGCCATGGTCCAGCAGACCCATTGATTGACAACCAGCTTGCTGACGCTGTCGACGGTAGACCCGGTCACAGCTAGTTGGGACTCGTCATCGACCCGAAGTCGATAGTGTCCAAGCAGGGGTCCAAGGGCTTGGGACATATTCAATACCGCGAACTGGAGGATCTCGTTGGTGTATAATAACGGATTCGAGACGTTCACTGCCACTGCGAGCGATTCCCCTCTGAATTGGGAGAGAGAATCAACCGGCCCTGCGACCATGCCAACACCCGTCGTGCCCCAACGACCACCAGCCTCGGGCATGGCCGAGTTGAGCATCGTCCATAGGTCAGCAGTGACAGGCGTCTTTACTACGTTTGCCAACTCTGTAACGTTAGGGCTGACACCGTCGTCGACGACTCTGACCTTTGACACCCAGCCGGTAGACGTGCAGAGCACCGCTGCAACGTTAAGGAAGTCCGGCTGCGATGCATTCTTGGTCGAGCCCCCGAATCTCGCCGCGTAGTAAAGCGACTGGTTGAACTGCTGCGGCAAGTTCGGACAAGGCTTGCCAACCGAATTGGTGACCACCCAGTTTCCGGTAGTCTGTCCTTTCGCAGTCTTGTTCTTGTCCCATAGGATCCTGTCGCTAATCACAGGCACCTGGGCGTCGCAGCCCGGAAACGTAAGACTGACGTTGAATGTGTGGTAATTGAAGCTGGAGACGACTGGTGCGGACGCGGTGTAGTCCTCCATCTTCAGGCACTCGATTTTCGAAAAGTAGCCGTCGACGTCGACGCTCAAGGGTGAGCTGGTCGTCCCGCGCGCGGTGCCGTTGCTGAATTTGAAGGTCTGATATGCAAGGTTCCCATTGACGCCAAAGGGGAAGCGCATGTCGAAGTTGACGAGAGCCTTCGCCGTGTAGTAAGCGCTTCCTTCTGTATAAGTCGTCGCCGGAGCGGTTGTGTTGAAGGAGTTGAGGACTTGGACTTCGGCCGGTTCGGAGACTCGGATGGCGGCTAGGCTGTAGAGGGAAGGCGCGAGAACGATCTGGATTTTGAGGATGAGAGAGACAAAACAGATGAGGAAGACGAAGTAATGCTTTCTTTTCAAGGATTGAAAGAGAATTGCGGGGGACAGCATGGCTGTATAATCGAGATCGTATATATCTTCATTTGTGTCCCGCTCTTGTGCTCGACGGTAGGCCATCCAAGGCATGTATCGTATGGCTTGAATCTCGACTCGGGCCCAAAACAAGGAGATTATGGTTAGGACTAGGATCAATGAAAGTCAGCAGTCTATCCCCCGTCCTCAGTTGAATTGCACTTACTTGCGGTTGGGCCGAATCGCCACAAGTAGACAAGATTCTGTCTCGTTCTGACAAGGCCATCGTTCTCCTGCGAGTACCAAAGCATCACGGGAAGGGCGATTGTCAAGGCGATGAACAGCGCCAGGAAGGTCGATAGAGTAACTGGTCGGAGCCAGACCGGGCGCCATCTCACATTCTCCACGCGGTGGATAGAATTCCCACCTGCCTTCGCGCTGCCCTTTTCCGAACTAAAGGTGGGATCGCTCAGTAGTCCATGGTGGCTGTCCGGTGTCGGGCGAATATCCACAGGAGTTTCCATTGGATATGCGTCATTTTCCTTCGTTGTGAAAGGCTTCGTGGATGGCCGACCGTAGCTACCGGTGAAGTAATCGTTGGCGCCGAGCGCCGAGGTCCGTGATTCCGTGTCGTGCGGCGCCATTCCGGTAGTCAGGCCGGGGCTACGCCTGATTAACTTTCGGAGGATTCGATTGTACCCGCTCAGCTGGCGTAGGGCTTGGATCGGATCGCGAAAAGAGGCAGCCTCAATGCATCTATCCTTTCATGACCACATCGCTGAACGGCAATGCCAAGACATACACGCTGAGAACTTTGGTAGAAATCATTCGGGGGCGCAGCGGTGTTCACTTATGTATGGAGAGGTCGTAGGATTCAACGCTGCGGGCCCATCTTCCCACGGCCAGGGGAAGAGTTTCCTATCCGCCAACCACATGGTCAACTCTCCCGATCGCGAATTCGCTGGCCAGTGAGGGCACTTTTCTTCTGAGCCGCGCCTGATTTTAGACCCCAGAAGCCTTGCATTAGATCCGGATGCCGCTTCAGCTCGCGCTTGGCAATGCATGTCAGACTCAAAACTGGCAGCCGGCACGCTGAAGGAGGGACTTCAGTAACACCCCTGCATGACGCCACAAATCATCGCCTTCTCAGTCAATCATGAGTCTGCAATGACCAGATTAATGGAATGTAGACAGGGACTCGACGTATATCGGACTCTGTAAAGGTCGATTTGGGCCACAGGCTCGGGTCTCTAAATGGTTGCCTAAGAAGTGGTTCACCTTCTATGGCGGTGTTTTGAGTCTTTAGGCAGCACGGTAGCATCACCTTCAAACCCCGCTTTCCGGCGCCTAGCTGAAGACCATCAACAGGGGGTCCTCCTGGGCTGGAGGTGGGAGTCTGGAGATGGGCCAGACCCAACCTTTCCAAATCCTCCCAAGTTTTAGCTAAAATTCGAGAATGCGCTTGCTGATGCATCTGAGGTTGTCATTGGCCACGAGCACGTGATGGCGTAAGTCTTGATGCACAGCCGTTGAGACCAAGAGATGTAGTGGCTGCCTGTCATATTGCAATAGCGCTGAGCCAATCTCTTCCATCTCGACGACTGATGTTCATCTTGACATTATGAATGGATTATCATCGTCGCGGGTAAGTTGAAGTCCGCTGGGGAAGATGCTGACTTCTTAGACACACAGATGCTATGCAGTACACTAGCGAATTCCATCTTCTACCTTCAGCCCCATTCAATTTGTGGAAAGTTAGAGACTGTCGTTGGGACGGGATGCAGACGTATCATTACGTGGAGTAATTTTGGCTCTACGCCTTCAGTTTAACCTTTGGGCCAATCATGGATAGACCAACAAGCAAATGCCAGAATGTTTGCAGGTGAGTTCTTGCGGTACGGACCGCGCATTTGCGTTCCTGCGTCGTGACAGGGGTTGCCGGCTTCGTGGGGCTGGGCTGACTCGGACGGGCTTGGATGGGTCCTGATAAGGTGACAGCTTCTGGTCCTCGTCGACCATCCCACATTCATCGTTCATGATCAGTTCAAGGTCTGAGTTTTCGTGTTGACTTCTTTTTAAAAGATCAAGGTCCTGTGATCGATTGCTATCTCAAGTTTCACATGACAATGTTTCATAGCCCTCATAACACCGATATTGATGAATCAACCCCGAATCCTACATACCCCCGTTGTTATCCCATCCCTCGCTCTTTGGGCCGCAGAATCTTCAAGCCCGACCGACGGCAATAAGCACGGGAACCCACTCTCCAAGTTGCACTAAGCAGTTCTGAGGCCCCCGATACCACTCCAAAGTGAGATGACGTCCTGCGTAGGACCGGGCCGGCCACCCGTTAAAACTTATGTTTAATTGGGTCCAATTCAAGATAAGAAAATTCGGTTTTCTTTGCGAAAATTCGCCTCTCTCCTTCTTTCCTCCTTTTCGATCACCAAGACACGGCATGCTTCCAAGTTGACAATAGCGACGCTGGAGGCGTCGGCTTCATAGACGAAGTTATCATCAAAATTCATTACTGCAGACCCAAATTGCGCCCCGGCGCAAAGAAGGAAAAAAAAAACGCTATCTTTGATCGCTCGCGTGCGCACGCGACCAAGCGAAAGTTCTCCGCCCTCATGGCCGCTCCACCACAACACACCAGCGACTTTGAAGAACACGAAGTCATCCCCGGCACGCGCCGCCTCTACGACGAGAATGGCAGCACCTTCTCCAGCGATGCGTCGCTCCTGAAGCACGGCGACATCGTCCTCGTCCCGCAGCCGACGGACTCCCCCAATGACCCCCTGCGATGGTCGCTTGCGCGCAAAATCTGGCACTCCTGTCTGGTGTTGTACATTGTGGGCCTGACGGCTGCCACTTCGAATAACGCCGGCTCGGGCGCGGACGGCGTCAATGAGGAGTACGGCATCAGCTACGACGTGTTCAACACCGGCGCGGGTGTTTTGTTCGTTGCGATCGGGTACTGGACGTTGCTGAGCTCGCCGCTCGTTCACTTGTACGGCCGGCGCCTTGGGTATCTTATCTCGATGCTGCTCAACATTGGCGGTCTTATCTGGTACGCGCGCATCACCGACGTCAATGGCGTTGTGTGGTCGCAGTTATTCGTCGGCGCTGCGGAGTCAGTCGGAGAGGCGACGGTCCAACTTTCTCTTCTCGACATCTGGTTTGAGCACCAGACCGGTAGTGTGCTCGGTATTTACACCTTTGCAACGGCCATTGGAACCTACTTGGGACCTCTGATTGGTGCCAACGTGTCTAGCCATCTCGGCTGGCGTTGGATCGGTTGGTTGGGCACCATCATCTGCGGCGTCAGTCTGATCGTGCTCTTCTTCGGGCTTGAGGAAACGGAGTTCAACCGCGACAGCTACTTGACTAGTGACATTGATCACGCACCACACAGCGCCCCGATCGCAGAGAAAACTTCAGAGAATGGCTCTCATGGAAAGGATACAAGCGCAAATGATGCGACTCAGAAGCGCAGCCAGCTTGTGGAGGAACACACTAGTCACGATGTTGATCTCGGGCGGACTGAGACCGCCCGGCACCGTGCCTCTGTTTCCTATGCCCGGCCCAAGACCTACTGGGATAGGATTCGCATCATCACTCCTGCACCCAATCTCCAGGGTACCGGCGCGAAACAGTACTTCCACCGCCTCTGGCACACCCTCCGCGTCTTCACCTTCCCCGCCGTTTGGTACGCCGGCTGGCAGTGGGGTCTCCAGAATATCTGTCTGACGTTCTATCTCACCGTACAGGAGGACTGGTGGTACGGAGAGCCTTGGAACTACACGCCTGCGCAAGTTGGGAACATGAACCTACCGACCCTCATTGGCAGTCTGATTGGTTGCGCGTACGGTGGCTACGGCAGTGACAAGTTCATGCAGTGGATGATCAAGCGAAACAAGGGCGTCATGGAGGCTGAGTTCCGTCTCTATCTCATGGCGCTATGCACCATTATCTTCCCAACAGGCATGTGGCTCTTTGGAATTGGATCAGCACGTGGATGGGACTGGCCCGTTCCGTATGTTGGACTCGGCTTCATTGGCTTTGGCTATGGATGTGCCGGAGACTTGAGCTTGGCATACCTTGCCGATGCTTTCCCGTGAGTTAAGACAACACCAGCATCCGGGCTCTTCAACTAATGTCTGTGCAGGGAAATGGTTCTCGAGGGCATGGTGGGCGTTGCAGTGATCAACAACACGATCGCCATGGTCTTCACTTTCGTCGCTAGCTACTGGCTCGATACCGGCATGGAGAACTGCTTCATCGTTCTTGGCGTCCTGAGTTTTGTTATCATGGGTACCAGCTTGCCCATGATCATCTATGGCAAGAGGTGCAGACGCTGGGCTAAGGACAGGTACTTGAGGTTCATTGAAATCCGTGATGGATTTTCCAAGTGAGCCGGTAAATCAGCACTTGGGGACATTGTCAATATGCAGCGCAAGGCACACGATCACCTCTGATGATGCTGATTGGGACTAAGATCATTGTGGACTGTCTGTGGGGGTGGAGAAAAGTTGGCTTCCGTTCGAAACACGATATTTACTGGTTTTGACGCTAGATGCGTAGGGTGTGAGTGGAGTAGGAGGTATCCTGATGTTTCCTTTAGTCATACAAAGATTCACACTGGGGTTCTACTGGAACTCGTTCTGCGAAGGATTCCTGTGTGAATTTTTATATGACTAAAGGAGACATATGGAGCCCTTCTACTCCATCCACACCCTACTTACCTACGTATCTAGCCGCCCCTATCAACTGTTCTTCGTTATACCGGTACCTGAGTCCACAACATAATCAAGAGCAAGTTGCGAAGTCAATTGATGATACATATATGAATCTAATGTAACATCGACTCCAGCCACGCGACTGCCTCAGCATCATAGTCTGAGGGATACGCCATGTGGGCAGTGAGGTTGCCTGTTCCGCGAGCATCGCAGACTCCGTCGTGATAGTTGCAGTAGTCATGGACTCTGTCGGCGTAAAGGTTGAATGCAGCAAGCTGCTTGGCTGTCCGAGGGTATTTCTAAGAGGGTGAAGTTAGTCGGTGCGTTTTCAAGTTCAGCGAATTAGACGATACACACCCCTGTGGCGTCAAAGGCGGACGCGTTGCCTACGTTGTAAGTCTGGTTCGGCATGTGCCGAGGGTTCCCATAGAGAAGGATCGCCGCAACTGAACGATTATCTGTTAATGTCTACCAACTTTTGATTGACCACTTGAATTCTTACTGTGTTGGCCGACTGTGGATGAGTCAATTGAAGGCTGGGTCAAATTGCCCAAGATCCCGTTATCGCCACCTCCGGCCAAGATATCTCCCAGAACCATCGCGCCTTGCGAATAACCCAGGAGGACGATCTTTGCCTTGGGGCAAGATTGCGCGTATTCAGTGATCTGTTTCGCGCCATTCGAAACCCCTTGGAAGTAGCTGTCGCTCCCGGTCTCGTCGGTGGCGGGATATACAATATCTGCGTAGTTGCTGTTCGGGAAGGCTTCCATCAACGGGTCGATGATTGTAATAAGGCTCCCAGGGTAAGACAGGGTCGTGCCGCGAGCCTCAAAGTAGTGAATATCGGCGCAAGTGGTGTTGACATCCTGACGAGGGAGGAGAGCAGTCGATTCAACTAGGATTGGCAGAGCCAGTCCGATGGCTGCCACTTTGCTGAGGAAAGACATAATAGGATGAAGGCTTCAATAGTCGGAAGGCTCACGATCTTCTTGGAGCGATTTGGAGTGATTAAATCATTGATGGTCTCTTTATATCATCACGGTGGTAGCTGAGGCCGCGTCATGGCGGATAGTCGGCCTCTATGAGAGGACCCTTACATCTCTAGTGATTGTAGACAGCTCATTATTAGATTAAAGATCCTCGTAGTTCTGTGTCGCCTGAGTTGCACGGATCAGGTCAGTTGTCTCCGAGGTTCATTCCGTTGTGGGGCAAGTCCGAGGTCGATCTCCCCGGATGAGGTCTCATTGGGCCTGGCTTCATCGATCAGGACCAATATACCGGTAAGTTGCCAGAAGCGTGGGGAATCAAGCTTCACTATCCGGCAGCGGTGAATGTTAGATGCGTGAAGACCGATACCGCTGCATGATTACTTATCATAACCGGTGTCTGTGGTGTCACTCAGCCAAAGATCAGGGGCATCGGAGTTATCTAAGCCCGCAGGAGAAACATGCGCATGCACATTTGATCTCATTCAACAATGGCGATGATTTAACGGATGAAAGTTTCGATTACAATTATTATTAGCACCCCTAATTTAAATATCTCAAGCCCTCCACAAGAACATCCAAGCTCCAACTCTACGACGCGTACTCGGCAACGATGGTATCGGCGACCTTCTCAACCAGCTGGTGAATCCACATGATGGGGAAGAACCCAGGCAGTCTGTTGCAAGCGCTCAAGTCCGAGACACGTAAGCCATCGATGCCCCTCACTCGCAACTCGCCGTCCAAGACAGCCATCGGGTCGTCGTCGCGGCCGATGGGAGCCGAGCACGCGGCGTGATGGCCCCAGTTCTCGTCGCGAATGAACTGGTCAAGCGCATCGCCCGTGACATCAGCGCCGGGCCACACCTCTTCAAAGACTCCATCGAAAATCTCTCCAAGCCCAGAGGCGAGTGAGCCGTTGCTGCCAGAGAGCACACCGCCAATCGGCAGCACGTTCTCCATGACACGGCGAGCGTACTCATATCCCTCACGGATGGCCGTCAGATCCTTGGCCGCGTCTTTGTCGTTGTTGAACCTCTTGAAGTTGATCATAGGCGTGTCGCGTGGGTCCGTTGAGCGGAGGGTAACAGTGCCGGCGTTGTTGCGCTGGTGCGCTTTGAGGATGATCCAAGCCCAGTGGTTCGAGTCGGCGATGGCGCCCTGCGACCAGCCTGGGTAGTAGCCGGTGAAGTTGGCTGGTCCACCAAGGATGATGACGTCGGGCTCGCCGCGCTCCGTGGTTGTCGAGTTGCGGATCATGGCGATGGCGATACCGTTGGAGGCATACGCGCCGCGAGTAGTTTGCGTAGTGCCGTCGACAAAGGTTTTCATACAAGGATCGAGTTCCGGGTCCGGATGCCATGTGCACTTCTCGGTGAGTGCGAATGAGGTTGGGGTCTTGGAGACCATGGTCTGCTCGTAGCGATCTTGGAGGTTGGTGCCAACTCCTGGGAGGTTCAAAACGACATCGATGCCAAGAGACTCGAGTTCTTCGCGAGGTCCGACGCCTGACAACTTGAGAATCTGGGGCGTGTTGTAGGCGCCGCCTGCGACGATGACTTCCTTAGTTGCTGTGACGTGGCCGGTACCTGATGGCTGTGCGGTCCTGGAGCGCGGGTCGGCACGGTAGAGCGCTGCGCCAGACATATAGTCGACACCATTTGCGCGAGGCTTCTCGCCAGATTTATCGAAGGTGACTTTCGTGGCGAGCGTTTCAAGCATGATGTCAAGATGATACTTCCGGCTGCCGTCGGAGTTGGTCGCAAGAGCGGTGCCAACAATCAAATCGTAGACTCCACCGCGTCTCGAATCTGAGCGCATCACCAGCGGGACCTGATATACTTCAGGAACCATGAGTTGACCGGGCGCATTGATATCTGATGTCAACACACTGGCGAGATAAGTCGCGGTGGCCGCGACTTCTCCGATGATTGTCTTGCCAAAAGCCGTGCAGGCCGCCAAGAGTACAGAGACGATCTTGATGTCAGTCGCGGCGGTGATGAGCGAGGTGTATCGCATCGGATACCAACCTGAGGAGCCCGAATTGAGCGAGTGTGGCTGGTAGGCTACGTTGGTAACCCGGTTGAGGTACTGTCTCATATTATCCGACGCGTATGAATCATCACCAGTGAGCTCAGCCATGTCATCCCAGTCCATGTCGTAGGGCTGCAAGCTGAACAGGGCATTATGACGAGAGCACCCGCCAAGAGCCCCGGTACGCGGGTAAAGAATGCCAAGCGGCTCGGCGTTCTCGGGGATCTGATCGGGCGTCGCGGCGGTGCCAAGGTTGCCTGTGGCATTATACGCTGTCCAGTATTTGCCCTCGGTGGTGTTGTAGGTCATCTTGGAATCGCGCTTGTCAAGCTCTGTGTCGGCGTATTTGTTGACGTAAAATTCCCAAGCCAAGCTCCAGTCTTCCGTCGAAGCCAGGTTCATGGCTGGCACGGATTGGATCAACTCGAGACCACCGTCGCCGCCGGCCTCGATAAGCAGCACCTTGAACCCGGCGATGGCCAAGTTCGAGCACATATGGCCGCCTCCCGGGCCGGAGCCGATGCAAACAAAGTCGTACTCATCGGTTGTGTTTTGGGGAAGGTTGTGGTCGTACTGTCGCTTAGTGTTGATGAAAGGGTTGTGTCGGGGCAGTCCCATGACCGCCTGGGCGAGGAGGACGCAGAGTGTGAGGCGCATCGTGAGGTACCGGGGATCCCCTCGGGCAAAGAACGACTACGTGACTTGTTTCAGCGATGTTTCTGGGAATAGTCCACGGTAAGAAGCCCTCGTCTCTGTTTTTGTATCTTTTCAGTAAGAGGGGCGGAAACTCAATGCCGAACCATTCTTCTCCTTTCTCAATTTGATCTTTTGTCAACAGGGGTAGTAAGGCTGCGATGGGGTAACCGACGATCTTTCCTCAACAACCCCCGGTGGGTAACACTGAGAGTTGAGAAACGGGTAGCACGGGCGGCTGCAAGGACGTTAGATCTAGCCAAGTCGAGCAAAAATGACGAATCTCGGTCCTGGATCATAGGGAAAATTGGAGCTGCCAGATTAAGATGCGCGCAACTAGACAACCCACTCGCCCTGAAGCATGCGGCGGCGGCCGACATGCCGCACGTCTACAATTGTTATCATTGAAGCTTCGACTCAAAATCAACATCGAGTGCAGCTATAAAAGCTCAAATTATATGAAAGCCACTCGTAGTACAATTGGTTTTCGCAAGGCGCCCGCATATCTGCCCGCTCCGACAATCAAGGAAGAGCAGCACGTCCATGGTACAGGTTTGCTCTCCGCACCGCGCTCTGAGCAAATCAAATTAACGGTAATGATCGGCAAGGTATAACATGGCTATCCGAAATAAAAAGCCTAGTCGTTGGACGACGTGTTACGCACAGGAAGTATTCATCGAAGTTGATATGTTGTTGCCAACATCTGCGGTCGGCGGTCGTTGATGTTCTCCGAACGACTAAAATGAAGATACAACCTTCCTTTGAGTTTCGCCCACGGCTGTCTCAAATAAAGTCATTGGTTGTTACGCTGGAATTGTTGAGACAGGGCCGTTACCAGATTGGCGATGCGCCTATTCGCATTCCTGCTCAGAACATTTGCATCGATTTATTCTCGTTGAGCCGAATGACTCTTTTTCCTAAAGAAAAAGCGCAAGCTGAAGATCCCTGAAATTGCATGCCTACCTAGTAAGCTTAATGTGGTAAGTCAAAGCACCCACTTCTGGCCCACCCCTGCTTCTGGCCCACCGAAAAAATGATGCCCAGCCACCGACGTTCTAGATAACCCCCAACTTCAAATTATCACCGCTTTTCTCAACCTTTTCTAAATCGCTTCATTTACTCAGGATGCATTTTTCCTCGCCTAATGGCTCAGTATACCGAATTTGAAGTCCATCGGGCGCTTGCCGACATCGC